GTGTTTATCATCTATTAGGAAAATCACCTATAGCTGATTGAATACAGGAGCAGCAGGAGAGATAGCTCAGTAGATAAGTGCTGGGCATGCAACTCAGCCTGACACTCTGAGTTCTGCCACCAGAACCTACATTAAAAAGTCAGATGCAGCGATGGCCATCTGCAGTCTCAGTACCTGTAGAGCAATGTGGGAGGCAGAGGCAGGACAATTGGCCAGAATCTCTCAGACCAGTATGAAGCACAGCTCTAGAAGCAACACGAAAGACCCTGCCTGAAAATGAGGTGGAAAGTGAAAAACTGACTCCTGATATATGTCCTCTGACATCCACAGATAGTCAGTGACATGCTGGCGCACACACACACACACACACACACACACACACACACACACACACAAACAAAAAATGGGATGAATAAATAATAATTTGTAAAAAAAGAAAGTGGGAGCTCACGGACCCCAGACTGACAACTGGGGAACCTGCATAAGACTGAATCAGGCCCCCTGGACATGGGTGTCAGTTGGGGACAATGGGTAATCTATGGAGCCTCTGGCAATGGAACCAGTATTTATCCCTTGTGCATGAATGGGCTTCCATCCCCTATCTCAGCCTAGATACATGGGGGAGGGCCTAGGTCCTGCCCCAAATGACTTGACAGACTTGGATGATACCCCATGGGAGGTCTTATCCTCCCTGAGAGTTGATGCAGGGTGGGATGGGGGGTTGGTGGGGGGAATGAGAGGACAGGAGGCAGAGGGAACTGGGATTGGTATGCAAAATAAGACTGTTTTTAATTTAAGTAAAAATTAATTTAAAAAGAAAGACAACGTACAGGAAGATGAGCATAGGTGTTTTATAATACTATGCAATCTTTTTGCAAGGGATTTCATGCTGGTTTGAATAATATTGGTCCCCATAGGCTCATATATTTGAATGCTTAGTCAACAGGGAGTGGAACTGTTTGAAAGGACTAAAAGGATCAGAAGGTGTGGCCTTATAGGAGGAAGTGTGTCACAGAGGGCGGACTTTCAGGTTTCAAAAATGTTTGCCTAACCCAGAGTCTCTCTCCCTGATGCCTGTGGACCAGGGTGTAGAACTTTCAGCTACTCCAATACCATGTCTGCCTGGGTACAACCACGTTCCCTGCCCTGGTCATGATAATGAACTAAACCTCTGAAATATGGGCAACTCCTCAATTAAATGTTTTTTTTTTTATAAGAGCTGCCTTGGTTATGGTGTCTTTTCACATTAATAGAACCGTGATTCAGAAAGACTTGATCATCCACTGTGCCTACTGAAGGACATATAGATACACACATGTGTGTGTATGTATGTACTTCATATACTTTTGTCATGGACTTGGTATGAACACAACCACACTGCCATGGTACCCTGAGAGCTGACAGAGCAACAGCATCTTTGAAGCACGTTTTCATTCTCATTCATATGGTGCCTAGCCTTCTATATGGACTCAGTAAACATTTGTGAAGTAAGTAGTATTTTTTTACAACTTTCTCTCTCTCTCTCTCTCTCTCTCTCTCTCTCTCTCTCTCTGTGTGTGTGTGTGTGTGTGTGTGTGTGTGTGTGTGTGTGTGTGTGTGTTTTCCATTTTTATATAGGGGGAACAGGAGATCAACAGTGCCTAGTTCCCACAAATGTCCTAATATGTCCCTGATTGTGCTAATCTATTATAAGGCAAAGATCCTGGCAGAGTCTTGGGCCTGGTTCTCCTATGGGGCCAGTGATGTGGGACATGAACTAACTTCTAAGTCAATCAGGAAGAGTAGAGAACTGGGTTGAAAAAGACTTTTTTAAAAAGTCATGCTTTATTTACTTTGTGTGTGCATGAATGTTTGTGGACACATGGCAGGCAAGTGGAGGCCAGAGGACAATTTGTAGAAGTTGATTCTCTCCTTCCACCACGTGGATCCTGGGGCTAAAACTTGGGTCATCAAGCTTAGAAGGCAGAGGCCTGTTTCTGCTGAGCCATCTCACCAGCCCTGAGTGCTTATTTTAATAGCAACAGTTGTAAGCATGATGGTGGCTCCCAACACTGTGCTAAGGGTATTCTCTTTGATAGCTCTTGAGCACATGCTTGGTTTGATGGAGTTTTGTGAATGTTCACAGCTGAACTGGGCATTTCTGTAGCGACTTTGTGTTTGGATTTAGGAAGGAGGGCCTTGCCTACCATTGTCCTTCCCATTCTTAAAAATCTTTTCACTTTATTTATTATTTAATGTGGCAGAGCAGAGGGCACACACCATGGCGCATGTGTGGAGGTCAGAGGACAACTTGTGTCTGTTCTTTCTTCTACTTTGTGTGTTCCAGGGTTCCATCTCAGGTTTCAGGCTTGGTAGCAAGTCCATTGATCTGATGAGCAATCTCACTGGCTCAGAGGGGGAAAGTGAAACTCTTTAAAAGAACTTTGTGCTTCAAATTCACATCCTCCAATGGCAGGATATGTTGTGGGTATCCTAAAAACTCAGGAGGCTTTAGATGGGAAGAATTGGACATGGAAGATGGAGAGATACTAGGAACCAAAATTTCAAGGTGTGGGCAGTGATTTGGATGATGGGACCTGCAAAGGGTTAATAGTGGAGGTTCTTGAAGAACTCCACTTGAGAATGACATATGCTGAAACTCTGAAAGAGCTGAAGCTGTTCTGTCCAAGAAAAAGTAAAAACACACAACCTTCAGAGAGACTGTCTCCAACTAGCATTTTGTGAACACCCTGACCTCTGGCCTTGGGGATTTGTCTGTTGACTTTGCATTTTCCTTCAGGGGTTCCATCTATAGACACACAGCACTCCTTGGGCTGCTTGGCTCACTGAGGGCCTTGGTTTGGTCTAGAACACCTCCCCAGAGTTTTGAAAACAGGTGGGTTGGAACTGACTCAAAGCAACATGACTAATGAAGAACGTTCCCCAGGTTTGGTCAGCTTCCTGTAGCCATGAAGACAAGAATCATGGTCTGTTTTTGCTAACAATCTGGCATGGGCCTAGTTTATTCTCAGTACATATTGCTAGGTATTTTCATGCAATAATCAATAAATTGGGCAGTAACTCATTTAGGGGTACCCTTGAGTATATTCCCTATTCATTTTTGGTCAATCATTAGTTCATATGACAGATGTAAAACCAAATTGTGATAGTTACCTATTATGTACACACCTTTAATGGCTTCTTGATTCTCTAGAAAAATGACTAACTTACAGGTTAGGTCTTGGGTCTTCAAATATGCAACACACTCTCCTGCATGGGGCCTTTGCCTCAGAAAAGAGCAGACCAGACCAGACCAGACCAGACAGAGCAGTGTTCCTCCCTCTCAGTTAGCTCTATTTCCCTTTGGGTATGTGATTGAATACTACTTCTGACCTTGATTAGGTCTAATCCTGTCTAGATCGTGTTCTTTAGAAAGCTTTAAGGTTCCTTTTGGAGTACTAATACCAGTTGTTTTGTTATATATTTAAAAATGTACATGTATTAGAAGATTACTTATTCATTAAAAGAATAAAAGGGGAGCTAGAGAGATGGCTCAGAGGTTAAGAGCACCAGTTGTTCTTCCAGAGGTCCTGAGTTCAATTCTCAGCAACCACATGGTGCTCACAACCATCTGTAATGAGATCTGGTGCCCTCTTTGGGTGTGGAGATATACATGGAAGCAGAATAATGTTGTATACATAATAAATAAATAAACAATAAAAATAAAAAAAGAATAAAAGGGGTTGGACAGATGGCTCAGCAGTTAAGAGCACTGGCTGTTCTTCCAGAGCACCCAAGTTTGATTCCCAACACCCACACAGCAGCTCACCACTATCTGTAACACCAATTCCAGGGGATCTGACACCCTCATTTGGTCTCTAAAGGCACCCGGCAGACACACACTGCACAGACATACATTACAGCAAAACATTCATATTCATAGTTTTTTTTGTTTGTTTAAGAATAAAATAAAATCTGGCATGGTAGTACTTTTATAATCCCAGCATTCAGGAATCTGGGGATAGCCTGGGCTATGTGATGAGAACTGGTTTGCCAACCCCTCAAAAATTAAAAACAAGACAAAATAAACAACAAAGAAAGAAAAGGGAAAAGGATGAAACCCTGTCATTTATAACAACATGAAAAGAACTGGAGGCCATGCGGTTAAGTGAAATGAGCCTGGCAGAGGAAGATAAGCACATGTGCTTTCTTCCCGTTGTAGAAACTAAAATAGTTGTCAAACTTACTTTGTGATTCTTTGATTCCTGTGGTTATTCTTCCCAGATTTTCTACCAGGGCAGGAACAATGTCTGATGCTATTTGCTTATGTCTCTCCAGTGTTTATAGGATAATAAAAACTTAATACTTGCTAGCTATAAGATAAAGCGAATAAATGACAACAGTGGATAAAAGAAAGATGAAGGCAAAAACAAACCCTTGTTGAGCCATGACAAAGGGAAGCATTCTTCATGGAATATAGAATCACTTGTTTAGGGAAAAGCAGGCTGACCAGTATGATACCCAAATTACTCATATAACAGACAGGACACTTTTTGTTTTTTGTTTTTGTGGGGGAGAGAGGGAAAAATCCCATAACCAAGCAAGCCTCACGTACAAAATGATAGATGCCTATTATGTATTTTTTCCCTTCTCTGTATTTTTCTTAATGGAAGCAAATGGAACTTTCCAAATATCACTGTATGATTGGAAAAAGTGAAGTGCTCCGTAGTGCCATTTTGGGGGAAGGGGGGGGGCAGACAAGGAAAAGATTCTGAAAAGGGTTTATGTTTTCTAATGGAAATCAGATGTGGGGCTCATTTACATTGCTCCACTAGAGTGCTTCATTCTCTCCATTAGAGGTTGTGTCCAGCCTGGATGTCCGGAGCCCCTCTAAGAGAGGCATGCTCTTTGCACTCTGGGTCTTTCTGTACCTCAGCAATTTGCCGGCTCTGGCTTACAGCAGAGCTAAAAGGATACTCTGGGCAAGCCTCAGATGACTTGGAATCTGAACCTGCCTGAGATTTCTCTTACAAGCTAAATGTTACATTTCCACTCACAGAAAGGTACTGCTGTGTGGCCATAAAAAGCTGGCCAAAACCCTGTCACCTTTTGCAGTTAGTCATGTTATTTTTGGTTTGTGCCAGCACGCAGCACAGCTGTGACTCAACAGAACCACTGAAGCAAGAATTTGGAGTTGAAAGACCTCAACCCCAGCAAGCACTTTTTTTTCCCTTGTGGGTCATTACGCAATGTGTCTTTTTGCTTACCTTTCCGGGTCTTCCCTGCATACACACGAGTTGGGCTGTCATTTGGAAGATGAAATCTCTGAGTTGTGTCAACACCTTCCTCAGATCCCACTGCAGGCTCAGGCTGGGGAGCTTTCCTTCTTGGATGTTTGTTTTACGTAAGTACTGACTGCCTCTTCAGACTTAAAAAAAAAAAAATCTGTGTTGATATATTTTTCACTCAAATAAACTCAAAATAGGATAGGGGTTGATTTAAATGTTTGCACTTTCCCATGTGAGAATGACAGTAGCCCTGTCCACTGGTTCTGTGTCTGTTTTGGCTTTCCCCAGTTGATGTTCCTAAAATGAGTCCTTGCTTACCAAATGGAAAGCAAGCCTGGGTTTCAGCAAGAAATCTTTTCTTGTATTTGTCAACATTATAAACATCCTTTGGACTTTTACCTTCGTTTTCTCTTATTTACTTATGTATCAAAATTCTGGGGCAGGGGTAGAACCCAGTCCTTTGGCCTGCTAGACAAGCACTCTACCACTGAGATGTATCCTTGCCCTTCTCTCATGGGGAGAAGATGCAGAAAGAAACTCTTCATGTGTATTTTTTTTAAATTTTGTTTTGTCTTAATGTGTATGGTTGTTTTGCCCACATGTATGTCTGGGCAACATATGCATGTAGTGCCCGTGGATATCAGAAGAGGGCATCAGATCCCCTGACAATGGTGTTGGTTGTGTGCTGTTGGGTGGGTGCTGGGAATTGAACCAGAGTCCTCTGACCGAAAGGTAAATGCTCTTAATCACAGAGCATCTCTCCAAAGATAGTTTTTTTTTTTTTAAGTTTAACGATTAAAGTTAAAATTTGTAAGTGGCGCTGCATGCCTATAATCCTAGCACTTGGGAGATAGAAGCTGGAGGCACAGGAATCCAAGGGCATCAGAGACTCTGTTTCAGAGAGAAACAGAGGAGGATTGGGGAGACCCATTAATTCATCAGATAGTTTACAGGGCAGCATCCCAGGTTGACTTGTCTCTGGGAAAACAGCTCTAGTTTGCATCAGCTAGTTTTGCTCATTGTTTCAGTGTTGCCACTGAGACCAGACACGGCTTCTCCATCCTGACTTCAGGATAAGTTAAAATAAGGAACCAGTTTTGGACCTTTCTTTGTGCTGTAGTTTAGGTTTTAAACATCACCCCCAAAGGCTGGTATTCTAAAGGCTTGGTTTCTAGGCCATGGCACTACTGAGTGGTGGTTCTTTAAAGAGGCAGAACCTGGTGGGAGAAAATTAGGTCATTGGGGACACACTCTTGAAAGGGATATTGAGATTCAAGTGTCATTGTCTCTTGCTTCCTGGCCTCCATTAGGCAAGCAGCCTTTTCCTCCTCCATGTTGTTGTGATATGCTGTGTTCCCACAGGCTTAAAGCAACAGGGTGAGAGCTACCTCCCTAAATCCTAAATCAGGAACCCCCTTCAGACAGTGACTAAGAGGGAAAGGGGAAGGCACTCTGCTAGGGGGATGTCTTCTTGTGGACTGGTATAGGAACTGGCTTTCGGCCCAGGGTAGCAGCTCTACATCCTAATTCAAACTGAGGAGACAGACACATGCTTCCTTTTGTGTGACTTATTCTCTCATTTTAACACATTCTTACCTGAAAAATAAAAACTAAACTGCAACAAAAAAAAAACAAGATTTATTTTTATTTGTGTGTACGTGTAATTTGGGTGCCCACAGAGGCCAGAAGAGGTAGCCAGATTCCCCAGAGCTAGAGTCATAAGCGCTTGTGAGTGCTGGGAACTGAAGAGTTGTGAGCACTCCTAACCACTGAGCCATCTGTCCAGCCTCTGCAGCATTTGTTTGAGGGAGAGAGCTTCAGAAAGCTCGCAGGTGCATCATCTTACTTGTAGATTAAGAAAGTAACACAGAAAGGTCAAGGAACTTCTCTAAGGTCACATGCTGGATTCATTGCAAAACTAGGCTTTGCATTCAGTATTTCTTTTGAACCACCCTGCTACTGAGAGCAAATTGGTTCAAAGAAATAAATGCTCCAAAGAATTTGGATTCTTAAATCCTAAAAATATCATTTCAATCACTAAATGTCAGGAGCATAACACTGAGACTATCAAGCAAACAATGGGGATTTGGGAGTAAATGGAAACTGTTTATTTAAAGAAAAAAAAAAAAGCAAACGACTCCTCTGTCCTTATGTGTGTAATGATTTTTAGATTATCTTTTCAATTGTTGATGCTTAGTTTGGAAAAGCAATTAACATTGAAAGACATGTTAATAAACTAAAATTTTATTTGTTGAGTTTATGGAAACAGATGGACACTAAAATGTTATCTGTGAAAAGGATTCATTTGTTCCTGGTACATATGAGCTCAGTAAATATTTGCTGGATTATTGAATAAAAATTGCAGTGTGTTTGACTGTAGACATATTAAAAAGATGTATAAAACATGGATTTGAGTAAAATAGCCAGATGCAAATTAGCATATGGTATGACTGACTGACTGACTGACGGACTGAGTGGACTGTCTGTCTGTCTGTCTATCTACCTACTTACCTACCTGTCTTCCATCTTTTGTTTTTCTGAGACAAGGTCTGACTCTAGCCCAAACTACACTGAGTCTCATCACTCTGTAGCCCAGGTTGGCCTTGAATTTATGCCACACCTTCTATTTCAGCTTCCTGGATGCTGAGCTGAGCTTACAGACATGAGCTATCATTGCTGACTTGACTACTTTTTTTTCTGTTTAATCATTTTTTATTAATTTATTTTTACATTCCAGTCTCAATTCTCCCTCCCTCCCTTCTCTCCTCCTGCTCCCCCACCCCCCTCCCCCCCTCCCACCTCTCATCTGCTCCTCAGAGAGGGTAAGGCCTCCCCTAGGAAGTTCACTAAGTCTGTCCCATCAGGCTTGACTACTTTTATATAAAGTTGAAAAACAGGCAGAGTTAATTTAGACTGTTACAAGTCAAGATACTCGTCATTCATGGGATAGGTTTCTAGAAGTTGTTAGGGGTTACTGGAAGGGAACTTAGGGGTTCTCCATGTTTTTCTTGACTTGGGTGCTGGTTATTTATGAGTGTTGGGCTTGTGAAAATTTATTGGGTTTTGAATGTCATATACACACATATGAAATTTCATATGACCAGAAAGGGTTAACAGTTATTTACTTCTTGGAAGAAATTCCTATACATACATTTACAGAATGGTATCAGGGTGGGGTTTTTACTTTCTACAATGCTAGCACTTGCAACACTCATGCTGTCACTGGCTAGATAGACGTTGGAATGCCTCATGGATTTTGCAGCTCCCTCTGTAGACTCTGACAGGTTTATCACATTTTCGACAGTTGCAAAGCATGTGTGAGACATCAAAATGATGCATGATGATGCTAGAGAGCCTGTGTACGCAGGCTCTGTGAGCTGAAAATGTCTTGGCAGAAAAGAAACCATGGTGTCGGTCAGTTGACCAATGTGGCCAATTTTATGGACGCACTTTAGTGTGTTTCACTAAATATAAAATGCTGAAGGATTATGTTTCTAAATTAGCAAACTGGTTTTGGAAAATCCCATCCAAATGAATACTTGTTCAGAAGGAATATCTAGCCTTAGGTATTTTAATGTGTGTCTGTCAGGAGCACCAAGCACCCTTTTTGTTATGATGGAAGCTTCACACCAGCCCCTGGCATACATATGCCCAAAGAGTCTGGAATGTTATGGTGGAAGTTCCACCCAGCCCCAACACCCATCTCCCTCCAAACCCTGCTGCATCTCAGAAAGCCAGCCATATGATGACCTCTCCCCCAGAGATGCTCAAGACCACTCCCATAGGGAATTTAAACTGTCTCCCAGAAAATAGACTCATGGTTTTCTGGTGTCTCTTTCCTGGCTCCTCTCTGGGGGGCTGGAAGGCCACCGGGAATGTTGTATCCATTAAATGTGGGCTTTTTCTAATTTAGTTTGATTTGATCTAATTTGGATTGCTGCATCAGTGGAGAAGCTTATGGGGTGTAGAAACTTTTTAGAGGGAAATAGATGATCAGGAGACACTTGGGTTATTAGAGGCTGAGCCGAAAACCTCTTTTGTATAGAGTTTTATCAGTTTCCTACCTCATCTCTTCTCTAGAGGAGGCCGGTATATTTTTAGGAAACAGTTCAAAAGACTCCCTGGCTCTTTTGGCAAATGCACTGAACTTTGTAGCTGCATTCTTTTTTTTTTTTTTTTTTTTTTTTTTTTTTTTTCTATGCACTAGTCAGAGTGTCAGATCCCCTGGATTGGAGTTACAAACAGTTGTGAGCTTGGAGGTAGCTACTTTTTTTTTATTGTAGCCATAACAAAGGAATCCTTTTGTCTGGGAGATGTGTTTGTTCAGTGTTTGATGGCCCCGTGTCTTGCGTATAACAACGAAAGTTAGATGTAGGTGGAGTCACATTCCAATGGGAGGGTCTCAACAGAGAATCCAATCAGTGCATAAATAAACACCCCTTTTCCAAAGCAGATTCCTTCAGGATCTGTTCTTAGTGAATGTGTGTGCTCAGATGAAAATGTCCATTTTGGGTTTTGCAGTGTACAATCTATTGGCCTATTCATTTTAGAGAAATACTAATGAACTAAGCAAGGTACCATATGATATTCATAACTAGATTTATTTACCACACGATAGTCTGTGAACTGTTTCTTCTCTTCCTACTCAATTCTCACAGTAATTTTCTTAGTATTATTTAGGTCTAACTACTCTCTCCCTAAAGGAGAAAAAACTTTTTTCTAACATTTTTTTTGAAAAAAAGTTTGCAAAATATATGTTAGGATATGCTGAGAAAATTGTTTTCAAATTGTACAACCTGTTTTCCAAAATAATTTACTATATTCAGCAAATAAATTTTATTTTCAAATATCCATTCCCTCCCACCCCTGTGGTACTGGGTGGGGATGGACTCCAAGGACTTAGTTTATAAAACAAATGCTCTACCCACTGAGATGCACTGCCACTATCAACTTTTATTTTGAGTTGTTTGAGTCTGTTCAGCATCTCTTGGGAATCACAAAGGATTCTGGGTTCTGGGGAGAATACACATGGTCTTGGTCTTTAACTTCTTGACAACCATGAAGTTGTTTGTAAGACAGAGAACATTTTCGCCACACGCAAATGATAAACTCAGTG